ATAATACTTGTACTTGCGCGAGCTGTTTCGTTTGTCGATTTTTGAAAATATTTGATGTTGTGATATGTTCCCTCTATTTGTTTCCGAACCTGTTCCGTCATCCTTGACCATATGATTGCATTTAAATCATGGAAACGTAATAATATATGTTTAAAATTAGTGTGGCTGGTTTAGCATTGCTTGCTGTCACAAAGAATGCCTTGTTCGTATTTGTTATATATTCATGGGTGATTCTACATTGATAATTCTGTGGTCGTGTGGTGCTGCTATATGAATTATCTATGCGTGTATATATGTACTTCGCGCTGAAAGATTTGTGTACTATCTCACACTCATCATCATATCGATATTCTCATTTGCAATCTCAACAGCATCCATGCCTAGCAATTTATTACCGATTTCCGATTATTGCGTTAAATGTGTGATGGCACGACCAGCCCACATCATACTAATACCCCGTGCAAGTGTTAATATACAGACCAGTGTATTGGCCCAGCATATTGTGAATCTGGTGATAACGTTAACGTATTGCGATTACTTCACATCGCTACTATCCAGTCGAATCTGAACATCTGCACCATCGAACAGGACGTCCTGGACAGATGCAAGAAGCTGCGCTTCCGCCGAAAAGAGAATCCGTTCGCCATTGTGTGTAAGTTTCCTTCTGTTGGGAAGTAAATCGGTGCCTAGATTTGTATTTGTGTGTAATTTTATGGGGAAGCACAGTCAATCAAGGTGAGGCAGAGGTGCTATGGTATTCTGGCCTGAGTAGAAGTAGGGCGCATATATTGTACACCCTTAACACCAGCTCCAATCATGGGCACCAAAAGCCTCGGTTGAGAGTGGTGTCGGATGCCAAACTATTTCGTATTAGTATCAATCTAGTCGTAGCTTGTTCCATACCATCTATGGTATGTATACAGCCAAACTCGCAGAAGCAAAGACACGTATTTGTTCACCACATGCATGACAAGGTGTATGGCAACCGATCGGTGCTGTCGTGCTTCTGTAGCGACACCCCACACATATCCCACTCCCACGAGAGCCTGCACGGATCACCCACAATCCGAAGCCGTTGACACACACCCCCGTCTGCACTCATAACACAGTGAAAATCGATCCCAAAAGTCGAGTCATCAAGTTTGAGGAGGATTTCGAGGACCTCACACTCGACGACTTACAGGATGAACTGCCTGATCAGAGCCCACGGTACCTGCTGTACAGTTTCACGCACGACCACGGCGATGGTAGGAAGTCTGTGCCTATGATATTCGTCATGATTGCACCCGAAGGTAGGTACATTGTCAATAGCGGGCTATGTATGTGATGGAATCACTCTGTTATGCGTAGCAAAAGGGCTATGTATGTGATGGAATCACTCTGTTATGTGTAACTATAGGGCTATGATCACTCTGTTATGTGTAACTACAGGGCCATGATCACTCTGTTATGTAACTACAGGGCTATGTATGTGATGGAATCACTCTATAGTTGTATATCCGAGTTCTGCGTGTAAATACTATCCCACGTGCGTGTACTGAATAGACTTTCGTCGTCATATCTGGTATGTTCACCTACCCTCGCGCATTACCATGGCAACGCATAGAAACTCTCTTGCTTGTATATCATTGTACTGGTTGCATCCGATTTGCCTGGGAGCCCTGTGGGTACCTTAGACGCACCACAGTTCATGTGTTACTGAGTTCCGCCTAAGTTCTGGATTCACACACTTGACGTTGCCTTACATTTGTACTTTGGGGTATATATACAGCAGGGATATAGCACTACACAGAGTGATTTTGTTTTATGCTACTGTACGGTGCCTTACATTTGTACTTTGGGGTATATATACGGCAGAGTTATAGAACTACACCGAGTGATTTTGTTTTTGTGCTACTGTACGGTGCCTTACATTTGTACTTTGGGGTATATATAAGGCACAGATATAGCACTACACAGAATGATTTTTTTTTAGACTTCTGTACGTTGCGACAGGCACTGAGTGACAGGCGGTCTGTGCCTGTTTGATTTTGTTGTTTTCTTTTGTGCCTGAAAGTGGCAACGTGCAAGTATTATCACTGTGATTAAGTTTAAGGCCCTGTGAGGAAGCTCTAATCAAGCACACGTCCAATAATTTAGGCGAGGTGAAAGAACTGCACACCTGCACACCCGCCGGAAGATTTATTACTGATATACACATCGCAAGCCTGAGTATGGCATCGTATGCGTGTGTTTACGGTTGTAGGCAGGCAGACGTGTATATGTAAATGTAGGTTTGCGTGTATATATGTGTGTATTAGTATATATATATATATATATATATATATATATATATACACACACATATATATATATATATATATATATATATATATATATATATATATATATATATATATGTTTCTTGTTGTACCGGTTCCTAGGCATCGACGTGAGGAAAAAAGTCATTGCTAATATTGACCGGTGGCGTTCTCGGTCGGTAGACCCGATAGTACACTCTAATGAATATGCCTGTGACTTGTATGGCCAGGTTTTGCACCTAGTCACTTTCTCAGAGATTAGATATTATACTGATTAACGTACAAATGATGAATTTCTCGCTTAGATGGGAAGTTCTGTATGGTCACGTTTTGCACTTGGCCACTTTCTCAGAGACTTGAGATTATACTGATTAGCGCACAAATGATATATATCTCGCTTAGGTGGGAAGTACGAATTAAATATGTTGTACAGTGGATCAATGCAATCGCTGGTGGAGTCGATCGGAGTCACAAAGGTATGCGCTCGTTTGTCGATGTGGAGACGTGGCTGTTTTCTATCTGTCGCTCAGATGCGACTGTATTGTTCGTGTACCGTAGACATACGACACATGCACGTGTATTTAATGAGGGCACCTTGCATAAAAGGGCATACATCAAATAATTCATGCGTGGGTACATATTTTTGTCGTCTTCAAAGCAATGAATACAGAAGTTCATGTATGCCCATGCGCAACTTAACATCTGCGAATATATCTCAAATTCATGCACGTCTGGTTAATGCCGATGCCATAGCTGTTTATGCTTAATGGCGACATGGTTTACACACACCCTCACTTCTTTTGTTCGCATACGCAGGTATATCAGATCTCAGATTTAGAAGACCTTACGCAAAAATGGGCTTTAGAGCAACTCGCCTTTTTTAAATGAAGGAGGCGGTGATTGAATTAGGGCTGCTGTTTGTACGGAGTTGAAGGTGAACCCCATTCAGTTAAATAAAATATTCTTAGTTCTTACATAGTAGTAATATATATATATATATATATTCCGACATAATGTTCTCATACCACTAGCACACCCCTCATGTTTTGTTATCTTGATCAGAATACAAACGCCGTTTCCACGGGTTAGCTACGTGATTGTTGCTGTATTGTTTTGGAGCTCGTAATTACATAAACAGACTCTTATGCAATAGCCAAGACATTATATAGAGCAGAGCAAGGAAGCAAAGGCATTCCAATATGATGCATGCACAGATGCAATGGATTTAGTGCTAACAACAGGAGATGCCTTAAGACTTATTGGAGACTGGTATTTAAGGGAAATCGTAGGAACATCAAACGCAAATACATAGAACAACATTCTTCACGTGAGAAAATGGACACTACCATGACGTTTCTCAGAGGTCATTAAAACAAGATATCACATATGTATCACGATGTTCATTTGGTATGTAAGTTATCAATATGAATATACAGATACATACATACATACATACACACACACACACACACACACACATATATATATATACATATATATATATATATACGTATATATGTATATATATAAATATATGAATATATATAATATTTTAAATATAATTATATACAGACACGAACACGAACACAACCACA